TGGATGGATGCATGGATGGATGGATGGATGGATGGGTGGATGGTTGGATAGATGGATGGATGGATGCATGGATGGTTGGATAGATGGATGGATGGATGGATGGATGGATGGATGGGTGGATGGATGCATGGATGGATGGATATTCCCTATCCCATGACAGCACCATGTTGATGTTTTGCCCTCCAGGTGTTGTGTCTGCAGCTCCCTCTTCTTCCTCAGCCAGGCCTGTGTAGTTTGTGCAGATGTTGTTAAACTGTCTTTAATCAAACACCGACACACACATCTGGTCAGGACCACCTGCAGTAATGTCTTCTAACAACATGGGGTCGTTCAGCCATTAGCAGCACAGTGAACGTGCTGTCTGTGTCTTCAGGCATCAGAACATCTGCGGAAGATGTGCATGCAGAACATGGTGTGGAGCTACTGCAAGAACATAAATCCTGAGTGGAAACACCAGGTGAGAAATGTCCCGCCGCTGCTCCAGATGTGCACTTTCAATTCAGAGGTTTCTTCATTCACATCAGTCTTCTTTCTGCTTTGAATAGTTGGAGCAGAAAATGATTGCCAGTGAGATTTTCAAGGACAAGAAGGACAACTACCCACAGAGCGTGCCCAAGCTGTTCGTCAACACCAGGCTCAGTAAGACATCTTTTCCATCACAGCTGTTCTTGTTGCGTGCTTTCATATCATTTGGTATATTTGCTCCTGATCAGATGGAGAGGACCTCAACCCAAAGGTGATGCAGGCTCTGGGGAGTGACAAAATGAAGGTCAGTGAAGCTTTGATGGTTGTACGTGGGTCAGCCCGAGCACTGTGCTCATACGTATCATTTCTACTCGCAGTACGCAGTGCCGGTCGTCAAGTATGACAGGAAGGGCTACAAGCCTCGGCCCCGCCAGCTGCTGCTCACCGCCAACAGTGCTGTCATCATCGAGGAGGGCAAACTCAAGCAGCGCATTGACTACGGAGCCCTGAACGGTCCGAGGTTAACACAAGAGAAGTGTTTTGGCTCGAGTCTCTTGTAGCTGATCTGCTCACTCGTCCACTTTTCCTCTTCAGGCGTCTCCGTGAGCTCCCTCAGCGATGGCTTGTTTGTTCTGCACGTGCCCAGTGACGACAACAAACAAAAGGTGGAGCTCAAGACAACACACTAACGGTTTTCATGCAGCCTTGTGTTCACCGTGTCTGTCCGGCTGTCTCCCAGGGCGACGTCATTCTGCAGAGTGACCACGTGATTGAAACTTTGACCAAGATCGCCATCTGTGCTGACAAAGTTAACAGCATCAACATCAACCAGGGCAGGTGAGCAGACACCAGTACACCCGGTATGGATGTGTGTTCACACCACGGACTGTTTAAAAAAGACCAGTGTCCTTGTCAGGGGCGGTCCTAGACTGTTTGGTGCCCTGAGCAAACAACCCCTCCGGTGCCCCTCCCTCCCCCGAGTCCGCATCTCCACCCTCTGGGATGCGGACTCGCGCCACCGTGACATATTTATATTACCTTGTACCATAATAGACACACTCAAAATGTCTGAATATTTTATTTGAAAAACTTGAAATGGAAGAATCTAGAATACTGTAAACAGAGTAAGACACATAAATACTGTACACCATGAATTTATACAGTACAAAAACCTCGTCTGTCCCTGCTTTGTCTCTCCAGTATAAAGTTTATGGTGGCTCAAGGGAAGGAAGGGATCATAGACTTCACGGCCGGATCACAGCTGCTCGTGGCCAAGGCTAAGAATGGACACCTGTCTGTGGTGAGTGGACAGCGCTCTACACACATTA